CCTTGGGTGCTAGAACTCGAGGCTGGAGAGGTTGGGGAAAGGACTGGCGTAAAGAAGAAAACCGAGTCATAGCCCCTTTATAAAGGCGGTGAATATCGAACACCTCCTCCTAGGCCTTAAAAACTACCTATTCCTAAGGAATCATGCCAACAGAACGGTTGGGATACCCACGCCCGTATTGATGAGAATCCCGCAATAGGGGGACACGATCTCTGCTTTGACGAGACGTGCCAATAAAACCACGTCTCGAAACATGGAGCGACAGGCTAAAAATGGATCAAAATAATAACTGGGCAGGGGCATGACGTCACGTTACAAAAAATTTGTCAGCAGATTGGACTCATGAAATATTATACTCTCTGTGGCGGTGTGTGGTACTTGTTTTGCAGATCCGGACACGTTCATTGTGTTCGAAAACTGTGTTGGAGTATTCGGAGGAGGAACCCGCCATGCAATGCCGAAGACAATATGCGCGTCGGAGACCTCGTCATTGAAGCCTGGTTCAAGGGCTACTGAGGAAGTCCTGGACTAAGGGGTCCTTGGGCGTCCGGCCTGTTGAACATGGGCCGGACTGATGGGCTATGAAGATACAAGACCAAAGACTCTACATGTGTCCGGATGGGACTCTCCATGGCGTGGATGGCAAGTTTGGTGTTCGGATATGAAGATTCCTTTCTCTGTAACCGACTTCGTATAACCCTAGTCCCCTCCGGTGTCTATATAAACCGGAGGGGTTAGTCCGTAGAGACAATCATAATCATATAGGCTAGACTTCTAGGGGTTTAGCCATTACGATCTCGAGGTAGATCAACTCTTATAATACTCATATTCATCAAGATCAATCAAGCAGGAAGTAGGGTATTACCTCCATAGAGAGGGCCCAAACCTGGGTAAACATCGTGTCCCCTGTCTCCTGTTACCATCAACCTCAGACGCACAGTTCGGGACCCCCTACCCGAGATCCACCGGTTTTGACACCGACACCCCCCTTTGGGCCGGCCACCTCTCCTTCCCCCCTTTATATACGTGGGAGGGGGGCACCCCAAAGGCACACCAAGTCTTCTCTTAGCCGTGTGCGGTGCCCCCTCCACAGTTACACATCTTGGTCATATCGTCATAGTGCTTAGGAGAAGCCCTGCGCCGGTACTTCTTCATCACCATCGTCACACCGTCGTGTTGATGGAACTCTCCCTCGTCCTCAACTGGATCAAGAGATCGAGGGACGTCATCGAGCTAAACGTGTGCTATACACAGAGGTGCCGTACATTCGGTGCTTGGATCGGTTGAATCACGAAGACGTTCGACTACATCAACCGTGTTACTAAACGCTTCCATTTTCAGTCTACGAGGGTGCGTGGACACACTCTCCCCTCTCGTTGCTATGCATCTCCTAGATATATCTTGCGTGATCGTAGGTAAAAGTTTTGAAATACTGCGTTCCCCAACATTTTGAAGCTACAAAATGTTGTCCATACCAAGCAGATTTGGCATTTCTTGGAGGTACAAGAGTTTGGTTATTTCAAGTGGAATTTGTCATACCAAGTAGATTTGATACATCAATATTTGAAACCACAAGATGTTGTTCATTAAGATTTCATAAATTAATAGTTTCGGTCTATTTTGAAACTACAAGATGTTGGACTATTAATTTTGAAGCTACAAGAGATTTATCTATTAATTTTGAGGCTAAAACAAATTGTAGTTTTGAGCATCAAAAGGTTGGTCTACTAATTTTGAGGCTACAAGAGGTTGGTCCATTAATTTTGAGGGCACAGCAGCTTAGTCTATTAATTTTGAAGCTGCAACAGGTTGATCACTCCAAATAGATTTAGGCATATATCATAGATGCAAAATCTATTTTGAAGCTACAAGAGATTGGTCTATTAATTTTGAGACTACAAGAGGTTGGTATTTTAATTTTGAGGCTGCGAGAGATTGGTATATTAATTCTAAGACTACAAGAGGTTGGTCCATTAATTCTTAGGCTACAAGAGATTGGTCTATTAACTCCATAACTGCAAGAGGTTGATCACTCCGAGTAGATTTGTGCATATCCCATAGATGCAAAACCTGTTTTGAAGCTACCAAAGGTTGGTTTATTATTTTTGAAGCTACAAGAGGTTCATCACTCCAAGTAGATTTGGGCATATCTCAGAGATGGAAAATCTTTTCGAAAGATACATGACGTCAGGTCTACCAAATTTTGAAGCTACAAGAGGTTTATCTCCCCCAAGTAGATTTAGCCTATCTGAGAGATGTAATATCTATTTGGAAGCTACAAAAGTATGGTCTATTAATTGCTATACTAGGAGAGGTTGATCACTCCATGAAGATTTGGGCATATCTCAGAGACGCAAAATCTATTTTACAAGATGTTGGTCTATTAATTTTGAAGCTAGAAGAGATTGATCACTCCAAGTATATTTGGGCATATCTCAAAGATGCAAAATATGTCTTGAAGCTACAAGAGGTTGGTCAATTAATATTGGAGCTACAAGAGATTGATCACTCCAAGTATATTTGGGCATATCTCGAAGATGCAAACTATGCCTTGAAGCTAGAAGAGGTTGGTCAATTAATATTGGAGCTACAAGAGATTGATCACTCCAAGTATATTTGGGCATATCTCGAAGATGCAAACTATGCCTTGAAGCTAGAAGAGGTTGGTCTATTAATATTGGAGCTACAAGAGATTGATCACTCCAAGTATATTTGGGCATATCTCGAAGATGCAAACTATGATTTGAAGCTACAAGAGGTTGGTCTATTAATATTGGAGCTACAAGAGATTGGTCACTCCAAGTAGATTTAGGCATATCTTCGAAGGAAATTTGTTTGGAAGCTCTAAGTGGTTGGTCTATTATTTTTGGATTGAAGTTGCATGAGGTTGGTCACTCCAAGTAGATTTGGACATCTCTGGAAGATACAAGATGTCGGCCATACAAGAGCTTTTAGCAACAAGAAAGGGGTATGCTACACCTACGGACGAATTTAGCAAGGGGCTAGTTCAGATTAAGGGCGATTAGTTTGAAATTTGCCCGCCGGGGGAGGGGGGATAACATTTTTATCTACATTCATTATTATTATTATTGGAGCAGTTTCTTAGTAACTGGTAAACACCCTCTAGGACGCATGCAGTGTACTAGTAGAAACACGCATAATCCAGTGAAAAACAGTTTCCTCACATCTCAAACCAGTAAAAGGTTTTCTCGTTAGCAGGACATTTTACTGCCTGCGTCTGGGTGGGCATGCATGCGCTTCTAGGTTGTTAATTTGAATAACCAAATATGTGTTATACGTTGCCAAAAATCATATGAATCAATTCATCTATGGATGAAAAATTCTAAAGATATAATTTCCGTCGTACCTAATAAATATTAGGCTAGTCACATTGCCGATCTAGAAACATGCGCACGCTATATCCACGCGGTGGGAGGAAGTGTTATTTACTCCAATAAACTCTAAGCGATAGTGAACACCTCATCACCCCACACCCACACCCACCCACCCACACACACACACACACACATCAATTCTTCTTCTTCTTTGCCAATACGCATGGAAGCGTATCATTGCATTGACAGGTGGGAAATGTTTACAATGGTGAAGACGCTCTGGCACGTACACTAGAAGGCGTGCTAGAGTGTCTCGTGAGCAGGGGAGGGGATGCTCAACCCAAGACACAAGTTCGGTTACATCAATTCTGGCTTGGTGAAACACCATGGTACACCTACCTACCCTGGGGGCTCCCAAGAACCGCCGTAGCTAGCTTGTGAGCAACCCGGAGTGGTAGATCAGTGGCAGACGACGACACCTTCCTCTTGTGTTCAAAGTATAGACCGTGGCCTCCCTTAACTTTTGCTTTGGCAATTGGCATCCAGTGGTAGCTTAGCTGTGCTCACCATGCCATGCCGGTCGACGACCTTTCTCCGTTAGCCCTAGCCCACCACCACGGACCACAGAGGAAAGCGAACGTGCATGCTGCCTCCAACTAGTTCTGCTAGCCCGGGCCATTTTAGGATGGGAGAACAGATGAAGAGGAGGACCATCGGTGCACCGTGGGGCGTGGGGTTCGTCGGTGTACGGCCCCATGCCCCCATGCATGTATGTATCCGGCCAGCTAGCTACCTCTCTCGCGTCGTATTCTTCAGCTTTGAACGACGGCACTACTCCAAGTGGTAGTAACTTCTTACAAGACGTATACCGTGTCAAAAAACGTCTTACAATTTGACACGGAGGGAGTGTTCCATCGTGTTTTTCTTCTTGTTCCACCGTGTGTCATAATATTCCGTCGTGTACCCACTGTAATCATGCCGTCCGAAATCGCGCAAATGATTTGCATCAAGAATGGTACCGCCCTTTTCGTGTATGTAGTATGTTGTAAGATGCACTGCCGCTGGATGTTTATAAAGATCATGAAAGCATGCAGTGCAAGGCGGTCTACATTTACTGCTGCCGTTGGTTGGGCCCTTGCTCGTCCTCCTGGCGGACACTGCACCGCCCACCACTCCCCCTGCGCCGCTACAGCGCCCCCGCTGCCGCCTGTCATGCACCCACCCAGTCAAAACCGCGCTAACCGCTAACCACCCGGCCAGCCTCACCGCCGGGCTTACCGCGTCACCGTCCTACCTGGAGCGCCAGCGGCAGCTCGACCATGGCGGTGAAAATGGGGACGACGACGACAGCGCAGTAACCGGGCGGGCAGCGATCGGGTGAAGTGGTGTCCTGGCACTCCACACTGTCGGATGATCCGGCCTAGAGCTAGACCCACCGCCACCCGCCTTATCTTCCCCCTCCCTCCCCCTCTCCCTGCGTCCACGGCCTGCGTCTTGGCCTCTTGCCATTTACTATTTAGGCGCCGTGTAGGTGGCCGGCCGGCAGGGACACACATCCATCCATCGACCGCCATTGCCTGCCAACCCCGTCGTGTAGGTAGGTGACTGGCCGGCCGCGGTAGTGAGTGAAGGCTTCTGTGCTCTGCTCTGCTCTGTGAGGCGGCCATGGCGGGGCTGCGGCTTCTTGTTGGGGCGCTTTGGCTGCTGGCGGTGCTGCGGCAGGGCGCGGCGGCGGAGGCGGGGGCCGTCTCCGTGGACGGGCGGCGCACCATTGCGTCCACGGGCGAGGACTTCGTGTGCGCCACCCTCGACTGGTGGCCGCCCGACAAGTGCGACTACGGCACCTGCAGCTGGGGCCGCGCCTCGCTCCTCAACCTGGTCAGTGGTCACCACCGACACCCCCCAGTTTCTCCCCTCCCTTCACCGCCGGCGAACTAACACCATTTTTTTTCTTTCTCAACCCCGCGCAGGATCTCTCCAACAAAATCCTTCTCAATGCCGTCAAAGGTAGGCCACCATCCATCCCATCCCGCTAGAGGTTCTTGGCGCGGCGGCTCACTGACCGATCCTTGCCAACGCGGCGCAATTCCCATTTTGGTTGCAGCCTTCTCGCCGCTGGTGCTCCGGCTGGGCGGCTCGCTGCAGGACAAGGTGGTGTACGGCACGGCAGACCGGCGGGGGCCATGCGCGCCGTTCACCAAGAGCGAGTCGGAGATGTTCGGCTTCACGGAGGGCTGCCTGCCCATGCGCCGCTGGGACGAGCTCAACGCCTTCTTCCAGAAATCCGGGTAATTTCCACCCTCAATCTTCCCTCGTTTCTTCCATGATTTGAGTTCTGAAGATCAGAAGATCATCACATCACATGGTCCGCTCCACTCTGAACCCGCAGGGCCAAGATCGTGTTCGGGCTCAACGCCCTCAACGGCCGGGTGCCACTGCAGGGCGGGGCCATGGGAGGCAACTGGGACACCACGAACGCGGCGTCCTTCATCCGGTACACCGCCGGCAAGGGGTACAAAATCCATGGATGGGAGCTCGGTACGTCCTCCATTTCCCTTGGTAACTGAAGCGAGAAACTCCACATGGAGATGGGGTTTCATCCTGAAATGTGCTCTCTCCTCCTTGCAGGGAATGAGCTCAGCGGCTCCGGCATCGGGACGAAGATCGGGGCGGCCCAGTACGTCAAGGACGCGATCGCCCTCAAGACGACGGTGGACAGCGTGTACCGGGGCAGCCCGGCGAAGCCGCTGGTGCTCGCGCCCGGCGGCTTCTTCGACCCGGCCTGGTACGGCGAGCTCATCGCCAAGACCAAGCCAGACATGCTCGACGTGGTGACCCACCACATCTACAACCTAGGGGCAGGTGTGTAAGCTTACGCCCATTTTAAAGAATTTTCAGACAAAAAGATACATGAACTGGACCTGAACTCGTTTGTGAAACACTGGACGTTTACAGGGGTGGACACACATCTGATTGACAGGATCCTCGACCCGAAGGCGCTCGACGGCATGGCGAGCCCGTTCAGGGATCTTCAGGGGCTGCTGAAAGCCGCCGGGACGTCGGCCGTCGCCTGGGTTGGGGAGTCTGGAGGGGCTTACAACAGTGGGCATCACCTTGTCACTGATGCATTTGTGTTCAGCTTCTGGTAAGATGGGAGATCCTTGAGATGAAAATTCAGTAGATACTCTTGATGAAGTTCTTACTTATGGGGTTTGTGGTTTTCAGGTTCCTGGATCAGCTCGGCATGTCGGCGAAATTCGACACCAAGAGCTACTGTAGGCAGAGCTTCATCGGTGGGAACTACGGCCTGCTGAACACGACCACATTCCAGCCAAATCCTGACTACTACAGGTAAGATCAGTATGCTACTTGATGAAATTTGCAATGCAAACAATGGCTAATGACATAGGAACTTGCCTGAAAGTGTGTAAGCTTGGACTTCCATGACATTTCCTCCTTCCTGTTTTCCTCTGCAGTGCTCTGCTGTGGCATCGCCTGATGGGAACCAAGGTTCTAGAAGCCAAGTTCACCGGGACCAACATGATCCGCGCCTACGCGCATTGCGCAAAACATGCTGTAAGCAATCCAGATGATCCTACACATTTTCATCACCACAACAACATCAACAGTCTCGTCATCTACTGACCTTCTCCATGTCTGTCTCTTTCAGCCGGGGATAACCCTGCTGCTCATCAACCTGCACGGCAACGCGACGAACCACGTCAAGGTGGCAGGTTCAGGCGGCCGCGGCGCACACGCCGGAAGGAAGCACGGGGGGAGGTTTGCTCAGGCGACCGGAGCGGCGAGGGAGGAGTACCACCTCACGCCTGAGGGCGGCAACATCCAGAGCCAGGTGATGCTGCTGAACGGCAGGGCGCTGGTGACCGGCGCCGAAGGGAGCATCCCCAGGATGGAGCCTGTGAAGGTGGACGCGGCGCGGCCCATCGCCATGGCGCCTCGGTCCATCGTGTTCGTCCACATGCCGCATTACCATGCCCCTGCGTGTAGCTAGAGGTTTTGGTGTTCTTGCTGGTATAGGTGGTGGTCGTAAAGGGTGGCTTGCTAAGCATGTCCATCCCAAGATAGTTATAAGATGGCTGAAGAGTGTGTGGCTTTGTGTGATTAGATTGTAAGAGGATGAAGGGGAAATTGACATAGTGAAACAAGAGGCAATGGGAATAACTCTTTCCTGGTTTCTTCCGAGTGGTTTGTGTTTTCTTGTAATGGTGGCAGACAAAAAGGATAGGAAACATTTACCTTCAGCCTCAGAGCCATGTTGTTTTGGATGGGAACATAGAGAATCAAAGTAGGAATGAAGCTTTTCTGAACCAAGAGGCAATGGGAAACCAACTACTTCACAGGAATTTTCAAAGAAATTTGTTGGTTTCATGCAGAAATTTCCAGGCATTTCACACAAGATCAGAACATTCCTACATTCTGAACTAGCACTTCTATCTAGCTGATCTTATGCAGATCGAGCAGCAAGTCACAGGTGCACACAGATCAGCTGAATAAGAATAAAGACTCGGCATAGGTGAGATGATGCAACAATCGTCATGATATCATTGTTCAAGGGTTCAAACATTATCGTCGTCATCACGGGACGAGGAAAATTTGCCAGACACATACCAATAATGACCGAGGACATCTGGTCTCTCTCTCTACTACATGGAGCTACAAGCCGGTAATGGTGAGACTAACGTAACACACCCAAGAGGCCAAAGGGAAAGTGGGGGTAAACTGCGGCAATCCTGGAATAATGACACAAGAACCAAAAATAACAGCAGCGCACAACATTCGAACGGCGGGCGGGCAGGGCAGAGTTATTCGTGATGGTGTCCGTAGATTCTAAGTCCGCTCGACGAGTCTTCTAGATGTACTTGAACAGCACACCTCCGTACGTGGCGAAGAAGGGCGCGAACACGAGGGACTCGACGGCCATCAGCTTGATGAGGATGTTGAGCGACGGGCCTGAGGTGTCCTTGAGGGGGTCTCCGATGGTGTCGCCGATCACGGCCGCCTTGTGGCAGTCTGAACCCTTGGGGCCAAGGGACCTCGCGTGCTCGCTGTTGCCGGCCTGAAACAAGTAGCGAAGAAGTTGATGACAAAGTTAAGAGACATGATCAATACATTGGCTCATCAATATAAAGTCAAAAGGAAATGAACAATCAGGGCTTCTGAGAATATTTACCTCAATGTACTTCTTTGCGTTGTCCCATGCACCGCCGGTGTTGGAAGCAGAGATGGCGATCTGTAAGTAAGGAACTAGGTAAATGCCTAGAATAAACGGATTCAGAGGTACTCCCCAGGAAGCAAGGGGAGAGCACTAGGATACCTGTACTCCAGAAACAAGGGCACCAGCAAGAACACCAGACAGGGTTTCCACGCCGAAGAGGGTTCCGACAATGAGGGGGGTGAGCATGACCAAAGCACCCGGAGGAATCATCTCCCTGATGGAAGCATCAGTGGAGATCTTGACACAGGTGGCATAGTCGGGCTTGGCAGTTCCCTCCATCAGTCCAGGGATGGTATTGAACTGCCTGCGGACCTCCTCAACCATCTTGAGAGCAGCACTTCCAACACTCTTCATGGTCATGGCAGAGAACCAGTACGGAAGCATGGCTCCGACAATCAGGCCAATGAACACCTTGGGAGATAGGACATCAACGACCTTCACACCAGCTCTGCTGACAAAGGCACCGAAAAGTGCCAGGGACACAAGAGCAGCTGATCCAATGGCAAAACCCTGCAACATTATATGCAAAGAGTGAGTTACATAACCAATAAAGTGGCTTTCACTACAAACCCATCACCCACTGCCTAATTCCGCAATAATCAAATAGCCCATCTTATCAAATACTTTTAACTTCTCAATGTGGCAAAAAACAACAGTAGTCAAGTCAAAAAGGAGTTACCCAACAAATGTAGAGCAGGAAAATTTACCTTTCCAATAGCAGCGGTTGTGTTGCCAGCAGCATCAAGAGCATCAGTCCTCTCACGGATTCTGTGGCTCATGCCAGCCATCTCAGCAATTCCACCAGCATTGTCACTAATGGGACCATAAGCATCGATAGCAAGACCAGTTGCCATTGTGCTAAGCATGCCAAGAGCAGCCATTGCAATGCCGTACATTGCAGCAATAGAGAAGCTGACGTAGATGCTGACAGCAATAGCGAAAATTGGGATGATGACTGACTTGTAACCAAGGGCAAGACCGAAGATGACGTTGGTGGCAGCACCAGTTCTGCAGGAATCGGCAACATCTTGCACAGGGCTGCCACAAGGAAATAATTGGGGGATAAGACACCGTAACACAAAATATGAACAATAATATAACTAGAAACTAATTGGGGGATAAGACACCATAACACAAAATATGAACAATAATATAACTAGAAACTAATGGGTTCCTTACCTGTAGGCATTGCTAGTGTAGTATTCGGTCACAAACCCAATAATCAGACCAGCCCACAGACCAACTGCCACACAGAAGAACAGGCCCCTGTGAAACCAAGAGAGCATAATCAGAAGCGAGTACAACATTGCAAATTGAGTAACAAATATTGACAAATAAATTACCAGTTGGACACGTCCTTCTGAGCACCGAAGTTGAAGATGGTGAACTTAGCTGGGAGAGCCAACCAGCTGATCACCGCAACACCGATAGTCATTAAAGCAGTGGAGATGATGAGCTGCTTCTTCAGAGCAGGTTCAATTTCGCTTGCAGCCTTGATCTCAAAGAAATCAGTCGCAAACAGGGTGGTGAGCAAGCAAACAATGATGCCAACAGAGCTCACGAGCAGTGGGTAGCACATCGCAGTGAAATCATGGTTGATTCCAAAAGATGAGATAGAAGCAACAACAAGAGCAGCGCAGGACGATTCTGCGTATGAACCAAAGAGATCTGATCCCATCCCAGCAATATCACCAACATTGTCACCGACGTTGTCAGCAATCACCTGCAAACAAGAGTTTAAAGTTCAGCAAAGGATATGCCATGAAGCATAACAGTCACAGTATAAATTGTAATTTGCCTAAAACGATTAGCCAAAAGCTGAGAAGTGAGAAGTGAACTCACAGCTGGGTTCCTTGGGTCATCTTCAGGAATGTTCCTCTCAACTTTGCCAACAAGGTCAGCACCCACGTCAGCAGCCTTGGTGTAGATACCTCCACCAACTCTTCCGAATAGAGCCATGGAAGACCCACCGAGACCATAACCAGTGATGGACTCAAAAAGACCTTCCCAGTCATCACCGTAGTACATCTTGAACACGTTGATGGTGATGTAAAGAACCACAAGCCCACTTGATGACAACAAGAAGCCCATGACTGCACCAGAGCGGAAAGCGGTGATAAATGCCTTCCCAACACCCTTCCTTGCTTCCAGGGTCGTCCTGGCATTGGCGTATGTGGCGATCTTCATCCCAAGGAAACCAGACACCAGAGATGTGATGGCTCCAAGCAAGAAAGACGCAGTGCTGAAGAGAGCGGTGTAGAGAGCTGGCTTGCAGGTGCCCGTGCTGTAGGTGCAGGGCTGGCCCTTTGTGCTGAATCCCTCAATCGACCCAAGGAAGACGAAGATAACCGCAGCAAAGACGACCATGAACATACCAACATACTGGTACATGGTGAAAAGAAATGAGGTTGCTCCTGTTCACAATAAAAGTTAACTGTTACACATAACTCATATGACCAAACTAAATAGTTATATTAAATAAAGCCAGCTTTTCATTACAGCTAGCAGTGCACATATTATTACATTATTAGATAACCTCGGTTCAATTGTACCTTCCTGAAATTAGTAAGTAACGAAATAGGATCTACCTAGAGACTGACACACGGAGAAACAAATATCTACCACCCACTGCCGTCTTACATCTGGGGAAGAGCAGCAGGCCACGCACCCAATCCTATCCCAGCGGACAATTCCAAGAGCAGATCTTCCACTGTACACGTCCCAATCAAAGAAGAAACAAATCGGTGACACCAATCACCAAACCCCAAGAAACAGGACACGCATCCGATGAGGGTTAGGCAGATGGAGATGGCAATCTCACAAGGCTAGCGGCAAACTGACGACACGTCAGTGACAGATGGCCGGGATCCTTATCCATGAGCCTGACGTTTCAGGTCTGGATCTGCCTACCCAGGGCAGTGGAGTGAGCTAAGTCAAGGCAGCTCGCAACGTGTCCAGCTTGCTGCGTCTGGCAGATCCATCACGCGCCTTCCACCACCAAGCGAGTATGATACTCTTCTAATTAAAATAAGACAGCGACGGTAGAGATGTGCAGTTGCTCACTGAAAGCTGCATCTTTACTACAGCACCGACGCAGAACACGGGCACCGCTCAAGGCATTAAAAGAACTGTTTATTGAAGCCTTGATCTGGCACCAAACACAGGCATCTGATGTCAATTTTCATTTCATTCAGATTTAAAAAATGGAAGATGGTGATTTTGCTAGGCTTTCCTAGCCCCACATAAACAAAAATCTACTAGCGTAGCAAACAAAAGTGTCAAAGGGGCCAACTTTCAAATCCTGCAGATTTGGAACTAAGCCAGGAGCGACAAATATATCTTAGGGAAAACGACCTGTTCTGCAGCGCCCACGGGCGAATCAAAAGCTCCGGCGCCCGGATTCGGTTTCTTTTTGCATAAAAGGAAGCAAGGAAGAGCTTTTAGCATGGCTACAGCTCAGCTTTCTCATGGTTTTATCCTTCCATAAAGAGGAAAAAAACACTCGGGGAGCTGAAATTCGAAAGTTCCCCGCTCAGATCAGCGCCGGAATCGACGAAATGAGCCAACGGACGGCCACAAACCGAGCCATTTGGCCCTGAAAAATTAAGGCTGCCTAGGCGAGATTCTACTTTGTACAGTAAAGAATATCCGGCAGTTTCAAACATTGTCCGCGCTCGAAGCGCGGCCGCTTCCGCCGGAGAAACGGCCGCGAAACGGGCGGATCTGCTCCCGCCGAGCAACGGCCGCCCCAGATCTGGGGAGAGAGTGAGAGGGGG